AACAGTTTTGAGGGAGAATCAAACAACCTTTTTGCTCTCCCTTTCCAAGAAAAGTGAAATTGTTTGGCGCTCAACTTTAAAGGCCACTATGCTCCGGGAATTAAGTGGATAACAACTTAGTGTTGACGAAGCACCATGCTTCACCATGTTTACCGTATTCATAGATGAGGCACTCTGAGTTGAAAACTTCTGGCTTGAAGGCAGTTCGCTGATCCTCTTTAGCTCGCTTTTATAAACAACCCATTCTTTTTTCTTTGCGATGTTGTTACGGTCGCGAGCTTCTTGCCTTAATTTTGATTCAGCCAACCGCTCTTCAGCAGACATGCTTCTTCTTATGAACACATTCGACAAGACCGATTGCCGTAGTAGACGCGCATTGGAGAGAGACTTGAGCCAGTGTGATTTTGAGGGCAACAATACCTTAATTAGTCTGATTTTCGAATCGTCGTAGGATCCCAACGCATTCGGGTCGACACTCAACATTTAAGATATCAAGGATACCTGCTACCTTATCTTCGAGCTCCATTTGCCGACGCGAAGCAGGCAGCTCACGGGACTCTTCAGTCAAACCGGCAATCACTATACTACGACCTTTACGGTCTTCCTCGATCGCATCGGAAACTGTCTGAACCATTTTCTCTTGTAACGCTAAAATCATCTCATTTATGAGCGGGTCAGTGTTTCGCTCTTGCATAGCACTGAGAATTTCACTGACAGAGCAAGACCGAAAGTCGGTCCCACCTTCAGCGGACTGATCGAGCGCAGCTGTGGCTGGCTTTGCGGATTTTTGAGGACTTTTTTTGGAACTACGCGAATTTCTTTACCTGCCATCATTGTAAAGAGCAATAAAGGGGAAGTAACAATTAAATATCTGTTACAAGACCTCACAGATATATAAAGGCAAACAGATCTCCGCTCAGGTCAAGGGGCCAATCGAAATAACGAATCGATAGTTCAGGCGCCGAGAAAAAAGCGAAATTCAAAGAGTAAAAAAAAGAGTAGCAGCTAATTCCTATCACTGCCTCTTCCTAAATGGCAGCAAACGCCAGAAGAAAGCTAACTAAACTGCTCAACCGGAATGGAAACTCCAAATCAACTCACGGCAATACCAGCTAGGGATGGGCAGACGGTGGCAGAGCGGTATCGATACGCCGCCGCTCTGTGCGGATGCAAGGTGTCGAATAAAGATGAAATGCTGATCGAGGCTCTTTATGACCTTTGCTCCGTATCCTACCCTTTGATAGTCACAGGTGATTTCAATTTGGACATAGACTGGATCCAAAACAGAGCACGGACATACGCAAGCGTACGTTTTATGGAAGCTTTCTCGTTTT